TCTATGAATAGTTCAACTTAAGTCGAAATATTTTGAAAATTGCATGGTGGATAGAATATACTTATATAAACATTAGGTGAAAATTTCATGCATTTTTGGTCATTTGTTTTAAAGTTACATCAAAAACCAAAATCGATTTTGTCGAAAAATGACTGTGCGTAAAATTTCCCGTTTTTCCCTTAATTTTTAGTTTGTTTTTCTCGATTATTTAGAAAAGTATTACGAATTTTTCACTTTTGACCCTCCAAAGTAGATTCACCAACTAGATTCACTTTCTGATCGAACAAGGTACTGAAGTCAAAAATCGAAGCACTTTTACTGCCCCAAAACGTGATGACAGACACAAAAAAAAAAAACACACATCATGGTAAAATCAATACATTCATCATCGCTCCGCTCAGAATCTAAAATACAATATTTCGTACCTATAAAATATGTTCAAAAATGAAAACGGATTTAATCATATTGTTATAACTTTTAATAGTTCAGACAGTTCAGTTATGTAGTTAAAAATTTCCATCACTTTTTCATAATAAATATATTTTTTTMATGTATTATTATTATTATTTATATCTAGGTATTTTGTAAAATATAAATAATTGTTAAACATATTTATAAAGACCTTAGGGTTGTTTAAATGATTGTCCTATTATGACTATTGCATCGAATAACCAATATTTTGTAAAATTTTTGTTTTTAGAAGTTTTCAAATTTCAATACATTTCAACAATTAAATTTTGCCGACTGTATTATTATTATTTTGATCAGATACGGATTTACACAATTGCCGCCCCTAGACAAATTTTTTTTGCCGCCCCATTACGACTTAGTAAAAAAACAAAATAACAAAATATGTAATCTATGGTTAGTATTTAGATAATAGATAATATACAGTCATTCGATTATTTACTTGGACGTTTATTGTTATGTATTAGTATTATAAAATAATGAAGAAATTATATTAACAAGAATATTATGTTATACAAATATTAAACATTTTCATTTTCCATCTTTCAAAGTAATCACCGTACATAAGAAAATCAAAAAGAAACCTAGAGTATATTTTCAATAAAATATTGGCCTAAAATTGCTGCCCCTAAAAATTTGCCACCCTAGGCAACTGCCTACTTTGCCTGACGCTAAATCCGCCACTGATTTTGATATTTTAATGATTTAAATCACCATAGTTTTTATGGACCTGCATTTGACCTATTCAAAACAGCGATCGTCGAATAATACTGGATTTACTCCCAAACGATCTCTTCCTGTAATAATTTAGTGGTGGTAAAAAACATAATCCTTAATTCTTTTGAATTAAATGCACAAACTGATATTATTTATACTGATTTTTCTAAGGCGTTTGACCAGGTCAATCACGCAATTCTTATTAGAAAATTACAAATATTTGATTTTTCACGTTCTCTACTAAATTGGTTCCAATCATTCCTATCCGGACGCCAACAAATCGTTAAATATCTAAATTTTACCTCTACACCTTCTGGTGTTCCTCAAGGTGACAACTTGTCAACTCTTCTTTTTAATATATTTATAAATGATCTTCCTAATGTCATCACTAATTCTAATATCCTTCTATTTGCTGATGATGCAAAATTAGTAAAAATTATTAAATCAGAACAAGACGCTTTTAATTTGCAATTAGACATTAATATAACCATATTTCGTGGTGTACCTAATGAGAATAATCTATTTTTAAATACACAAAAATGTATAAATTTATGAAATTTTACCTAATTAAAAATCCCGTTAACTCTCAGTACTCAATTTCTAGCACAAATGTCGAGCTTGTTAATCAATGATTTGGATTTGATTAAATTTTTCTCTACATACTGAAATGATTAAAAATAAAGCTTTTCGTATAACTTGGGGTTTATTAAACGTACTTGAGCTGCATTTTCAGATCCTATTCCCTTAAGAGGACGTTTCACCCGCATGTGTTGTCTCTGTCTTAAAAGTGTGTAACATTGCAAAAACTGTTTCGCGCGGGAAAGAACCGAGAAAGATACAGTTATAACTAAGAAACGAAATTTTCATCACATAAAAACGAGAATTTTGTCTGTGCAATGTCGTTTTTATTTTTTCGATATCACTTATACGAAAAAAATTCTTATTGTTTTATAATACATTAATTTTGCGTTTTTTAAGCATGAATAACTTTTTTTGTAGTTCTGATATCGAAAAAATAAAAACGATATTGCACAGACAAAATTCTCTTTTTTATGTGGTGAAAATTTTGTTTCTTAGTTATAACTGTATCTTTYTCGGTTCTTTCCCGCGCAAAACAGTTTTTGCAATGTTACGCACTTGTAAGACGGAGACAACACATACGTGTGAAACGTCCTCTTAAAAATCCTCTACATCTCTCTTGTCCGTTCTAATCTAGAGTACTGTCCCCTCATCTGGATAAATAGTACGTCGAAACAAGCCCTTACGCTGGAATCTGTCCAAAATAATTGTTTACGTTTTATCTCATTTAAATTTAACATAAACAGACCTACCCACGGCACATATTATAATAATGTTTTTAATTTTCTTAATATTTCTCTACGCTCTCTGACCGTCGTACGCTTTTACTCTCAAAATGTTTACAAAAATTAATATTAGGTTCAATAGATTGTCGTGAAATTCTCTCTTTAATCCGTTTTAAAATCTGCAATTAACTTAATACTAGAGATCCAAAACCCTTATATCCACTTCTTTCAACAAATATTATACCTTGAACTCTCCTGCTAACCTTCTTATGACTGCAGGTAATACTTTTGTCTTTGATTATATTTGAATATTAATTTGTATTCTATGTCTACTTTAGCATTATTATTTTACTCATTCTCTAATTTTAAGTATATATTTAACTATAAATTATGTTTTACGTATAAATACGTTTTTCACACACAATGTAATATTATTATGTTTTAGGACTGAGGGACTGACGTCCGTTTATATCAAATAAATAAATAAATACGTTGGTTTCTTGTCGTTAGTCGGGTAACATCAATTCTATTTTTATTCATAACTGTAGTCCGTGTAGATTTCTAAACTTTGATTAGTTAAATAATTAATATATTAATAATTGATGGGTACCCATATCCGATATCGTATACATCGCATTTCGGAGATTGGAAAAAAAAACCTATTAAAACCTACTCATTGTCGATGCTCTGGCCAGGTTAATAATATAATAAATATTATATCTGAATAAGAGATCATCGATACTACTGCAATACTGTAATACTGTTAAGAGTAATAATTATATTTTCTTTTACGTGACCTATTGCAGGTACTACACAATTTCAAGTAAATATTTATTCTGACAATTATTTTTTATCGATGACAACATTATTAAAATTAAGAAAAATAAATTAACGATGATCTCTAAAATAGTAATTTCATATTATAATAGGTATTATATAGGTATATATTGTTAAGTACTTCTATGTTATGTCGACCTTGTTTACTCAATTCAAGTTAATATGTTAGTTATATTATTTTGTAAGTTAAATTAGTTTATTATTAAACTCGGATAAATATTTTACGAATATTGTTATGTTATCTTTGCGTTCGATTAATTGTTCGACTATCGGTAAATTGGTGTCCATTTAAAGTGTAAACACTTGATAGAATATTTAACACGTAAATTCGATAACGATAAAACAACGCAATGGATAATTAACGTGTGTACTATAATAGTCTATAATAATATATTGTAATGTGATTACCTACATACAGAGTGATCATAATGTATTAACCGTTAAAGTGGTCGTAACACAATATTATTAACGGATAAAACTGTCCGAAAAAAAGTACGATAAGTAACAACCCTTTGTATTATGATATCCGACATATAATAATATACTTTTAATAAACACATTTCAACCGTTTTCCCGCCGGTAATCTAATTGTAAAGTAATAATTGGAGGTGCGGGCTATGGTAAAAACGTTAGCTTGAAATGAAAAAGAAATCGAAAAAAACAACGAACCGACCGACGACACCTACGAGAGCGATAGAGAGCACGTAAACACATAATAATAACCTCCAACATTGTTATGAGTCCGAGAAGCTCGATCTTTCGATTCGATTCGATATATTATGATATTAATAAAATAATAACCATGCAGCGGTCCAACAGGTTGTCTCCTGCACTCTTCGGACTTCACAGAATTTCTTTTTTGTAGGTCCTATACTTGCGTATTGTGATATGAAACGCGTGTTGTGGACTTATAATTATTATTATTATTATCCTCCGTAACGTAGTAGAGCCATCAGCGGTTCCCAAACTTTTTTTTCCCGTAGTGCTCTTTTTTGGACCAAATACAGCCACGTCGGCGCTGTGCTGTGAATACCGACCGTGAAAGTCGGGACTAGAAAATACTCATTGATAACGAATTTTTCAAAAAAAAAAAGAAATTCGTTACATTTTAAATTATTTATTTACGAGCCGCAGACCACGGTGCACAGTTTGGGAACCATTGACACAAATTGATTGGTACGTGATATTTGGGGATGGGGGGGGGATTAAACGAAAATAATATGTAATATCACACAGGCTATCATGGTTAGGTGTGCAGCTCGTGTCGCACTTATTAGAGACGAGACGCGATGGTAACCGCATCGGTTATAATATCATTATTATATTATTATGTCAGCACAATGTTTTCACCTTTATAACATTTGATTTTGTTTTTTTTCCCCCTATAATAATATAATCTCAAACCTTATCAGATATATCACTCTGCGCACGCACACACACACACGATGTGCCCACACGCACTCCGTCTCCGAACGATCGCTGATGGACCTTAAACCCAGAGTTTGGATCACCCCCCCCCCTCCCCACCCACCTTCGACATCGAGCTCCGTTCAAAACGGGCGTATCATCGGTATCAGTAACGCGTTCACATTTTCCGCCGATAAGCAATTTATTACGATTATTAGAATGATACACAACAACACTGTTATAGGTAGGATATTAGGTACGAAACGGGTATGCGCGACGCGTGTGTACGTCTCGTAATAATAATAATACTATAATCATTATGCATCCAAACTACTGCGACTGCGTGTCGCCTAGTCGACGGACGAACTAATATCACATTCTGTGTAGGTCTACACGCAGCTACACGCCTACACTGGCTACTTATTCTGTTTAGTAAAAATAAATTATAATAATGATAAACGATAATGACAGATAGGTACGAATAATAATCAATATACCAATAACAACAACGTATTTTGTTGCAAATAATAATGATATTATTGTGATATACCGCCGCCGCCGCAGACGCGTACAAAACGAGACACGAGTTTCCCGCGAAATAAGTCGTTTTATATAGCTACAAACAGTAAGTTATAATAGGTACGTCTTGTGCCTACACTTACTATTATTGTTATTATTATTATTGTTGTAATGAACTGAGCTGTGTCGCGTGCTTTTCTTTTCATTTTCCGACGTGTGTTATTACTTAATATGTTAATATAATGCAACAATACGTGTAAATCGGCCTCGCACAACTGCAGCTACAGGTACGTACCTACATAATAATTCAAAAATAATGCGTCTCAATTGTAAGTGATAATATAATAATTGCTTATTTCGCGTTCGATTGGGAATAATCGCATACTATTATTTTGACATTAATGCACCGCAAGTGTGATGGACAATGGTTTAAATCTCCGGCTAAACCATAACGTGTTCAAATCGCTGAATTATTATTGTGTAGTGGTCGAAATCAAAATATTATAATTGTTTCCGTGCAATACAGGTGAGCCGCACAATAAGCATTGTATTTATATGATGAAAAATTGGTTTCCAATCAGATCGTATTTGAATAGTTAAGACGATATTAGGATTTTTCGGTTTTAATGTGTGTAAAATCATTAAGAAAGTAATAATCTACAAAATTTTAGTTTGAATGACGGTAATTTTATTTTATTGTTGTTCTCATCACTATTACAATAAAATATAAATCAATGGAAATATAATATTATACTAACGTTATAGTTAGATAAAAAAAAAAAAAACCAAAGTCGAATGTAACAAGAAACAAATCGCTTGTTGTGGTGTATTTGAATTTAACCTCATACGTTTTAAATGAGATATTTATTTTGATTAATTAGTAAAATATTTAGTGTATGATAGTTGAGAAGGTTAAATTATCCACCTTGTTATAGAAATGAAATATTACTTATTAATGATTATACATTACTGATTTACTGTCGAAATCGATCGATTGAAATAAACAACACTTAAAATATGAATGATAACAACTATATGATGGAATGTATGTACGCCTACATACATGCGTATTTTTATTTGATTTTCTGTAAACAAATTAACAAGGATTGATTTGTGACATAATAATTGAAATATTTAGGAACAAAACACGATAAATATAATATCAAATTCTATAATAATATGTTTATTGTAAACATTTAGTTGGTCGGTTTAAAATTTTTTTTTATTAGAAATAAGGCTTCGACATCGCCGGTCATTAGCCAGGTTTACAGTGTATAAGAGATAAGTAAAGATAGTGTAGAAGAAAAAAAAAAAAATGTTAATTACAATTGTTTCATATTTTAGGGTCTTAAAAATACGGAGCAGGATTTATACAATGTTAAAAATTATTTATAAGGTTAGTATTAGTTAAAAATAAGAAAATTTTGTTGATATTTTTTTCATTAAGCGCTTCTTCAATATTCTGTGGTATTCTCAGATGGTTTTTTATGTGGCGGTATTTTGTACAATGTAAAATTATGTGTTGGACAGTGAGGTCAGCGTGGCATTCATCACAGTTAAAATATTTTCTGCGCTTAATTTATCAATTCAATGATTTGTTAGCTGTTTCGCCTAATAAATTATGAGATAAAGACGAAAAATGATTTTATTTTATAGTTAAGTATTGGTTGGTTATTAACTGTTTAGCAATATTAGGTAGGTACCTACATTGATAAGAGGGAACGGAAAAGCCAAAACAATTACGATACTTAAATCGATAAACGTATGGCCATCGCGATAATTTTATAATGACAGTACCTACCTAGTTTGCAAACCACTGTCGGGACTACCGAATTAAAGTTTCAAACTCAAAATTATTGAATACTATTATAGTTTCCAAGTAAAAAATTTACCTCTCTTCTATACGCCTAGCCAAAACCTTTTTGCCGGACAAATATTATAGAATTCAAAAACTTCGTACGATAATATTATGACGGACTATAACAATATTGAATATATCGTCAAATCTATACGAACCATGATGAGACAATATTAAAATAAATCGGTATAATTATAAGCTTAACGTGTTTTGTCGACAAATCAGTACCTACCTAGTGACAACGAACTTATACCGCGTGACGGTACTCTCATTATTATAAATTGATAAATTCCAAATCGAAATAACGTCGTTGATTTATTCCCCAAAAACGCTCCGGCGCTTATATATGTAATATTATACGATAATAATTATAATTTTTTATGGTTATCGTCGTGAATGTATTCGAACGTCTTTTTTAACCCCGAAAAGGGGTTTGGGGTTGAGCCGATGATCGTCCTACACGATAAGCCGAACGAGTTTGTGTAACGTTTTTGTTACAAACCCGCGTGTCACTAACAAAACAAAACTAAACTGAAAATAAAAAGATATAATAATATAATGAAAATAAAAAACCAGTTTGTCGCGTCTTCGTTATAACACGGAAATCTAATGCGCACCGCCGTTTCCAGTCTGCACGGCCAGTAGTAGTCCTTATAATATTTAAATTAAATAAAAATTTTATTATTATTATATTATGTATAATATACGAGTGTGAGGTCACAGGAACTATATCGAAATGTCGGCTCATCCGTAGTTGCTAATGAAACTATATGTTGTAATCGATTCACAGACAGGAAAATAATTTTAAAAATAACGATAACATTATATTGATAACAGTTGTTGTACTTAACCCAGTCGTGTTGACAGCTTTTTTTTTGTTTTGTCTAGCGAGGTTATCTTATAGTGCGATTTTATATTCTTCTCCCGTTTTCTGTTTCATACAATTTAACTCGTTTTTGGAATATAACTACATAGTACGTTATTTTAATTTATGAATGATCAATTGATAGCATATGAATACGACAAAATTGGATAAATACTATTCTCGAGAGCAATTCTTCTTACAAATTCAGTATTATATAAATATTATGATGACTATAATAGTTTAGGTTTACATTGTATATACATTTTGTAATTCTAACCCAATAAATACATTTTTTTTTTGTTTTGTATTCCTTTTCCAAATTAATTTCAAAAAAAAAAACCTCAATTTCGACAAAAGTAGTTATAAAATTTGCGTTAACGATCAGACGTTATGATAATATGACGTATACTTGGTAGTTAGTAGTCATATAATTATTAGTTATTATACAAAGTTGAATATAAATATTAATTAAATGATTGATTAAATGAAAAAAAAAACTGTTATTAACAGACGTACACTATTGTGTGATCAGAAGGTCACAGACTCACCAACGATGGACTTTCGTCCTAATTTATTTGCTTAAGCGCAAAGACAGATAAATATTATTGTACTTAGAAAATACTGCAACACATAACAATTTAATATTACGTTCGTTTAACAAATTACCAAATAATATCATAATAGTTGTGTTTCAACTTAATAATAATATATTAATAATTAATAATTACATGTCGGGATTTAAGTTTTGAACGAAAATAATTTAAAAATAAACAAATACCTACGACAGTACGACAGGTTTGCGGGAGAATAGGTCGAATGATTTTATTGTTTTAAAAACGACTTCGAGATAATAGTAATAGTAATAGTATAACACTTTGTTGTTTATTACTTGTGTTACACATCTTAGGTTTAAGTGGCTTTTCTGGTTCATTTAGAAATCTATTGAGATGAAAAAAAAATAACACTGAACGAGTTACGGTCCTTATATATGTCATAACCTACTGTTAAATCAATACGAGAAATTAAAGCCTCGTAATAATCAACATTAAATATAAATAGATAAGTCAACAGAGATAGACCATTAAACTTACTTAATCAAATTTGAAGTTATACAATTTCAATAAAAAATAAATTTATGGTTTTGATCTTAAAATTAGATTAAATTGATAGGCTTAACTGATTTGAGTAACTACGAAATATAACTACCAAGTTCATACAATTTATGTCTTACAACACCTAAATATTATAATATGTATGCTTGTATGCACAAAAACCTATAAAACTGAAATGCTAAAATAAAATATATTTAAATGATAGAAAAAAAAAAAGAGTATTAATATTGTAGGAGAGTGATGCGGCTTGAACAAGCGCAATAATAATATTATTTTTAAATTCTTATCAAAATTGTCCGATGTTTACTGATTAAGAATTTGGTATATGTAAAAAAATCAATATCCTTACATTCCTTAGGTACATAATAATGGCATATCGTGTAATATTAATTTACACTGCCGTTATATTCATTCCCGAAATATTAAATTCTCAATAATTGTTATTCGTCAATTACTATTAATTATTACCATACCTACTAGTATTATACTCATAAATGGGAGAAAAAATGTTATTGAACATGACGGCACGTGATAGGTACGTTGTCTCCGTCTTACACACATACTACATACCAAATTTTCGTTCACCAATTTCAATAGTGTGCTGTATTGTAACCAATATTAAACTTTTAGATATATCTGTTCTTATAAGAACACTATCTGTGTTCTCTCGATGAGTTTTTACGATATTTTAATTTTTGAATGATTTATGTAAAATATAAATATTTGATAATGCACATAACTCATTTAAAAATTAATATATTGTAAAAAACCAACGAGGGAACATCGTAGATAAAAGTTTGATGATAATAAATAAATATTAATACACTTAAATAAATAAAATAAAAATTCACTTTGATATAAAAACTAATAACATAATTTTTTTATTGAAATCTACAATAAGAATTTAACTCACAATTTTTGTGTTTTTTCTCTATTTTTATGCTCAAATTATGCATATATTGCATTACAATTCTGATTCTTGGAAATTTTAAGCACACTTGATGACCATTTTTTGAATCCTTAAAATTATTTCTACCACTCAATAAAATGATCCTGTGATAATACAAATTTTCGTATATTACTTTAATTATAACTTTCTTTTCACTTATAAAAAAAAAAAAACACCCGATGGGGAAGGCGGATGGCTAATTTTACCTCCAACCTCCCCCGCATCCCAAATGATCAAATGAGAACATAATAACATATAATTACATAATATTACACATATTATATAGATTACCATTTTTGTTGTCCATCATATTATGTAAACTGATTTAGTTGTGCGTTTTTTGTTTTCTCGGTCAGACTACGAATACTGGACCGGAAGGACACGCGAACCTGTTCGATGGCGAATCGCAACGGCGGAAGTTGCTGTTGTAGTGACGAAGATGAGGAAGACGACGACGAAGAAGAAGACGAAAACGACGACGACGACAGCGGATCGTGTTCGAGCTGTTCGACCGCGGAAGTCGTCGACGACGACGACATCGGTTGCGCGACCAGACGGCGACTGACGTCCGCGGGCAGAACGAACACTGCGGCCGCGGCCACGTCGTTCGACCTGCTGGACGCCCGGCGCCTGCCAGACCTGTTGGACGCCGAACGACTGGTGGCCGTACTGGACGGGTGTCTAGAATCGGAGTACGTGCGAGGCTGCGTGGTCGAGACGTGGGACGCGGTGCTCAGCGAACACCTGGAGGCCATCGCGCACCTGGTACTGTACCAAACGCCCGAGCACGCCGTCAGCCAGGCGGTGTACGAAAAGCTGGTCGGACTGTCCGCGTCCCTCCGGCCGCCCGCCAACGACGGCCAGCACCAGCGGCCGGCTCGCGTGGACGCGCAATGTGTGTACGGCACGCTCAGGTCAGCGGCCCGGTCGCTGTTGACCACCCGGGTGGACGCGTGCTGCCGGCAGAGCATGTGCCGGGCCGTCGGACTGGCCGTGGCCGCGCTCCGGTGCAGCACGCGACCCGTGTTCTCGGTGGAGAACTTCGTGGTCGAGATCAACGAGGCGGCCAACTTTGCCAACCTGTACTGCACCGGGTACGCCAAGCGCATATGCGCCGCGCTCGAGGGCATCTACGACACGGTCATGGCCGGTGACTACCACCCGACCAACGTCGTTGTCCAGATGGCCGTCATGGACAAGTGCATCAGGGCGGCGGTGCGGACGCTCGCCGACGCCCGGGCAACGGCCGCGCAAAAGACGGCCGCCCAGCGGTCGCTGCTCGCCGAACTAGACGACGTGCGCGCGACGGTGCGCATGAAGAACCACGGTTGCGTGGACGACGTGGGCGCCGACCCGCGGCAGCAGCAGCGACGCCAACTCGCAGTGGCCACATCATCGTCCGTCACGGCGGCCCGGTTCGTCCACTTCACCATGAGCCCGTGGCGGGCGCCCATCCGCATGTACCATCAACAGTCGCCGACCAGTGTGGACCAGGTGCTCAGGGCCACCGTCCGCTTGGTCGAGGCGCTCGTCGCCGAACTGTTCAAGCCGTGCTTGAGCGGCCGGCACCGCGTCCGCCGCCCAAACCGGCGTCACCGCGCGTACAGCAGCCGTCAGATGCACGACAAACAGCTCTAGAAGGACCGCCGACATTTTTCATCAATGTAATAATTGCATTTTACACGACCCCCCCCCCACGATCCATACAACAACGTACCTATATACGCATCATGCTTATCACAGCATGCGAAAGACGCTATTTTTATTGTTTTATTTATTTATTTTTTATTTTTTATTTTTTATTATTTTAATTGTGTGTACATTTTACGTTTTATAGTCTTTAAATTATTTTATTCACGTGAATCTATATCTAATCGTATATTATACCTATCAAGATTTTTAAGAAAGAAATTGGAGTGTATCGATACGTATCGACTCGTATTCGGGTTCCTCGTCGACAAATATCGGATTTTTATTCATGAAAATTTTATAATGCTTTATTATTTGCGTATCATAGCAAGCTGTACATAATTGATATTAAATGGCAATAAGTTTTTTTAAATATTATATCATACACGTTTTTAATTTTTATTTCACGTTACGTTTACGACGTCTATACAAAATTACAAATAAATTGTGAAAATGTTTTGCTTTTATTTTTCAACTGCTATTGTAAAAACTAAAAATATGTTAGGAGCCTTGYATTAAATTTTAAAATCTTAGATTTAAAAAGAAAAACTTTTATGAATTTATATCTAAGATAATTTGAACATTGCCGTAATTTTTACGTATTAAGTCAAGATTTGAACTTTAAATGTTTATACAACAAAATCGTGTGTATGTATTTTTAATATTTTTCAACTGCTATTGTAACAATGTGTTAGAAGCCTTGTATTAAATTTTCGAGCATTTCTAACCAACAAATAAATTTTTATCGATATTTATAGAAAAAAAAAACTAAAAAAGTTGAAAAATTAGAATGTCAGAGAACAGCTCAAAACAAATCATAATATTTTGAAAATTGTATAAAATATAAAAAACACTCATACAATAATTCAGTGAAAATTTCAAGTACCTGCGGTCATTTGTTTTAGAGTTACACCAAAATAAGAAAATCGCTAAATGTGAAATCCCGTGAAAATCCAATTTTGTAAAAATTTAAATTTCAAACGCTCATAAAAATTTAATTTGATTTTCTGGTAGATATTTTTTTTGTGATAAAAATTGACAAACTTGTAAGGAATCTTGTATTTAATTTTCAAATCTTATATTTAAAAAGAAAATTTTTTATGTACCTATTTTGTCAAAATTCAAACTTTGAATGCTTATAAACAAAAATTATGACAATGAATTTTCAAGCTTTTCTACCCAACAAATAAATTTTAWCGATATTAATTTAAAAAAACTAATAATGATCGAAAATTCCATATATCTATAGGCTATAAATAGTCCAAATTAAGTTGAAATTTTTTGAAATTGCACGGTGAATAGAATATACTTATATAAACATTCGGTGAGAATTTCATGTATCTATGATCATTTGTTTTAAAGTTACATCAAAAACCAAAATCAATTTTGTCGAAAACCGATTGTGCGAAAAATTTCCTGTTTTTCCATTAATTTTTAGCCCCCTCCCCTCCCCCAAAGTACCAACAAGATTCACTTTCTGATCGAACGAGGTACTGAAGTCGAAAATCGAAGCTCTTTTTCAACCCCAAAACGTGATGATAGACACAAAAAAAAAACACATCATGGCAAAATCAATACATTTCTCGCTCCGCTTAGAATCTAAAATATGAATAAAAAATATTTATTACTAATATTAATATATAAAAACGTAACAGTTGAAATATAATTCTTTATTCAATGAATGCTGAAAATGGTACAATATGAATTTTTTTTATCCTCGTAGTTAGGTATAGCGCAATTTCCATCTGTATAGAATAATATGCCATTTTTTATATTTAAACTCATTAAGATGTAGTTTTTTGGACCTATAGATAAACTATGAATTTTCGACCAAAAAGTTTTCTAAAACACACCATTCTGAAATCCACACCTCTATGTTTTAACTTCAACGTCGATGTACTATTTCTTATCATCACGAAAAATCTAAAAATGGCAAGCTGACGAGGATCGCGAAAGCATAGCCGTGATGGTATCAAACGCACACGTGCATTAAAATAAAAACTCTACACGAAATAACCAAAAATAATTATAAAGTAGGTAAATTTTGCCAAAGATCAAAGACATCGCGATAGATAAACGGCATGGGTTATAACCCGTTTAAAATACAAATATTAGCATAAATCTACATCGTGGGTTAACTTACTTTTGGAGTCGTTTGATCGAAGTGTTAAAGATGTTCCAACAACGAGTGAGAACGATAATGTCAGCGCCATCTACCGTCGCCACCATTATCAACTTTTCAACTAGTTTTCGTCACCAGCCATAATGGTATACGATTTTTGATTTTTAAATTAATTTTCCTATTTCCTTTTCCAAGTCTATGACACGGGTTTTCATTTTTCTTGTGACCACCGACAACTAGAGTAACTGGTGGGTTCCACGAAATAATACATTTCCCAATAATATTGTACAGCCATTTAAGTTGTAAATCCTATATTGATACATAGTATTCTATATAATATATAATAGTATAATAATATGAATATTATAATATAATTCTATACTTAATCTTACACAATTCCATTTTTGAAAATTTGGTTTTAATAATCAAAAGGCAGTCAACATTTATAATTAAAACACGTTCTGCTACGTAATATATTTTTTCGCTTAACGGATTATTTTTCCAATCTTGTTACAAGCGACACAAAAACAAAACAAAAAAGTTCATATTTATTTTAATAAATCATCTAAAAACTTAACAATTTCCTAATAATTAGGTTGATTTATATTTACAATGTATAGGATTAAACTAAGTATAATAATAAATTATGTTAAGCACAGTATGAGTTTTTTTCTTCAAAACAGTGGTCTATAAAGTAAAATAATACTTAAAAATTATGATGCAAACAACAATCAAGATACATTTTATAGTTAAAAAAAAATACAATATCTATATACTATTTATATAATAGGTGGTGTAGTAACGTCATAATTAAAATAATACATTACTATAATATTATACATTGGTTCACTGACTCACAATATGTATATAACTAAAAGCTAAAACGGCAATCGTAACCCATTTTCACTACAATAACATTATTATTATTATTATACTATGGGATTGTTGTCCATTTTGACTTCGAAGTGAGTAAGAATATAAACGGTAAAGTGATTATTATAATATTTTTGTAACGAGATAAAAGTTTACAGTCGAGGAAGGTGTACACAATTATATGATCACAATTAGGCTTTTGTCGAATAAAAAACAAAAAAAAAAAAAATTGAATTGAGCAAAGGACCGCGTCAGCACACGAACGCGGATTTGAGCCATTCGGCGAGATTTAGTTTGATGTTGCCGTTGAGAAGAGGATCCTTCGACTCGAACAGATTGAACGCGATGCTCAGGTGCAGGATGGCGGAAACGAAGTCACCGAACCTCAAGGTGCCGTCCTTCCGCATGTACCTAAGTATAAGGATCGACAACACTTCGGTGTTCACCTGGAAGCCCACTTCCAGCAGCGCGTCCTTTAGCCGTTCGGCTTTCAGAATGCCAGTCTTGTCTTTCGAATGGTTCTTGAACACCGTCTGCCAATACTTGAGGCTACACATCAGGTCCTTAAAATCGTTAAACTTCAGTCGTCCACTGCCAGTGCTCTGTGAATAAAATTAAAATTAGAATATATTCAATCGATTTCCCGTCGATCTGATTATAATATAAAATAACTACACGCAGACGCCATCGTACAAATTCTCAAATTCTTAAGCAAAACCAAACTGTACAATAAAATATTTACAAAATAAAAATTGTATTACTAAAAGTATGGTTATTTTTCTTTTGCATAGTGGTCTAAATGCATGCATTCGTCTTACGAATTTTCGATCAGGTCACGTGTCCTGACGCGAGTTTAACATTTTTACCCATCACAAAAAGTGCACAACATCGCTAAAGAAGTTTTCATTTCAAAAAAAAAAATACATAATATTCACAATTTATATGTTATTGAAAAACGATAAGATATGATGATTCGACATTTTTTTGTGCCCTTCAAAATATACATAATGTGGTAGGCACACGATTATTGTCCCTGTGCCATTTTAAAATTATTTTTTTGATGTGACAGATACATAATAATATTAAATATTACAATACAAAAAACGGGTAACGTAATCATCAACTGTGCGCAAATAATTATTATAAATAATATATGTGTGCTAAATACTAATTTAGTAATTAGTAGTTAGGTACTTGTCGAAATAACAGCCGAGGAGAAAACATATTTGTTTTAATTATATGAGAACCCTTTACAAGTTTTAAAATTAAATTTCCCTGCATTATTACGTATATATATATATATATATATATATATATTATACGTTCACTAATATATTTTATTCATCTTATAAACATCACATTCAGGCAGTTTAGATAGGTACATACTATTATATTCTCAGGACAGGTCGTAAACCTAAATATTTATTTAAGCAAATTATTAACAGACATTGCTTGAATACGAAATAATATAATTATTGAAAGTGAAAACTCACGTCCAAGGTGATGACTACTTGCCGGCAGACTTCCATGCTAGCACAACTCTTTATATAATCTGTAATAATATACATGACAAAATAATATTGTTATACTGATCATCCTGATCATCGAGAGCAATTATTTTAATTTACCATTTGGCAAACAAGCGTCTAGGAGCTCTTGGAGTTCAAATGCATTCACTGTCCTGTGCTCGTCGGCTAACTGTAGGAACACCGATTCGTATTGGACAAATGTCTTACCATCCAAATTTACTGGTGCCTAAATATATTAATTCAATAATTGGTTTAATTTCGCATACTGTCTTGGACATAGCCAACAATAGTATAGGGGTGATTAGTTATAAATTATTTTAATATTATAATGTACCTACCTTCATTATTGCTGATTTCAATAGCGAAGGGACAGTGTCAAGTAATCTGAAAAAATAAAACCCAATAATATTATGTTAATAACGATGATAATATTAAGATATTTGCACTGCTTTAAAAACGCTTACTTGAGTTTTAATGGTTTGCTCGAATACACTCTCAACGTGAACCCCGATTCTTGACCCGGTTCAAACGTGGTAGGTATTATTAAATATCCACCCTGGTCCAAAAAGCATCGATGACTTACCTAGAAATATATTATAAACAAGAATTTATTTTCCGCGAATGAATTAATTAAACTTATTATATTATTCTCGGCATACTTGTCTGCTGTTGGTGTATTGTGAGTTAACTAGTGATTTATTTTTTTTGAAAAAATCTTTGCCCGTCGAGTCCATACACGCTTTTGGTAACGAATACGACGTGAAACCGATCACTTTAGGTTCCATAATGCTGTGTTGGTTCAATGAAATTACAACTTCTTCCATTTCGCTCAAGATTAAATGTAGTTGCGGATTAATGTGAAAAGTTTCTAAAAACAAAAAAATTTAATTAAATAATAAACACCTTAGGTATTCGTACGAATGTAAGAATTACATAGAGTTCATATATATATATATACGAGAAATAATATGTTCCACAATTACCTGGATTATTTCGACATCCTCCGGCCGTCACACCTCTTTGCCAAGTACCTTGATGAAGACGCATTTGCCATGTCCTCTTGTGATGCAGAGACGGTTCGTCTCGGCTGGTGTCACTGTCCAAGTGTACCATTTCGACGTGAGTAAACGTCTTCACGAATTCGTTGTAATTCATCCTGAAAAACATTTATCACGGTTAATCATACGCCAACGGCCAGGCTTAACGACTCGTATACTGTAAAATTGTAAAACTTCCGAAATCTCGCGGTAAACAAAAACAAAATTCATATTATAGAAATGTTCGCTAAATAGAATTTTAAATTAATTTTGTTCTAATTTTGTATAGTTTTCAACGATATTTCGTTAAGCAGAAAATGTTGTTAAATGAAAGTTTGTTATCCTATTATGGAAGTTTCACTGCATTATTATATTATGTTAATAATAGCGATGCCCAATACCAAAATTCTCCTTCCATCAAATGAATGGCGTTTATGCGTTCTTTTTCTTTGTGTGGAACATTATCCCAATCGTCGGAATCCCTGGACCACGGACCGTTATACTCGGAGCCGGTACCGCCGGGCTGTCGCAATTTGAACAATTGTATTGGCTCGTTTTTGTACGTTTCCAACTACCGGATTGATAGAAAAAGAGAACAATAAAAATAACAATATTTCCGGTGAAAAATGAATAGGTTGGTACATCAATAATCGACATACCCTTTCCACGGTGCACAGCCTGTAATTGATTCCGATCTGAATACCGTTTGTTAGTTTTTCTGGTACGCTTTTATTAGCCTGAAAAATATATTTAAATATGTTATATTATTACCTATATATTTATGTATGCGTATATAGGTACACGCAATTAACACGATCATTTACAAGGGTATAAAACTGGCCACGGGAATATAAAATTGGGGTCAAATATTTTTGTATAATCACATCATAAACTAATAGCAAAAAAAATAAATACCTACCTACTATAAAACCATTAAGATAATATTAACTGTTGGCTTTGAACAATTAAATTTGTCAAGTAGGTACATAATATAATTCTTCAAATTCAATATACCTATGTAATGCTATTGCAAAATAAATATAAATGATTTGTATAGGCAAATAAAAAACCATTTAATGGTGTAAATATTTGAAAATAATAAATGTAAATGTCGACCGAGTCTTCACGCAGATTTTCAATGTAGGTTGTTGCATTCAATGAATTTATTTATTAATAATATTGCTTTGAATATACCGTAATGATCTGGGTGAACACAATTCGTTACGCTATCGATTTAAGTTCACGATACGGACCCAATAGGAAAACTGGCTTTATGAATAATAATAATATAGTGCCTCAAAGACATGTTATCGTCGTAACATTGACGTATATAATTATGAACACTATAGCTCATAGAATATTATTAAATGTACGCTTGAGTAGTTAGATTTATCGAACAAAATAATCATAAACGTGAAATCATCACAATGTTGTATTTTTCATAACAAACTTACAATATAATACCGTTATACAAAAATACTGCAATAAAAGAATTAAAAGTAATATATTATTTACTTGTTGTACCCATACTCGTATTCGAATTAAAAAGTTAAAAAAAAAATTTCCGATAATAAATATTTGCAACAACCTTCTTATGAAAAGTGATTTGTTGACACGTTTTCTTTTATTATTGTCTTGTAATATGTGATTGGAACTAAGATATCCTGAAAATCGATATTACTAGCTTCCTTTTAAGGGAATGTTCGAAGGCCATTATATTGAATAACATATGACCATGATGGCAGTCTGCAGAGGCTTTAAACTCGCTAAAGAGGTTCGCTATCTTCAGGGAGTAGGTTTATGTTGTAGTTATCCAAATACAACAGACTGCGATATAAGTCTGTGAGATACTAATTACTGATACTTAATGAGAACAAGTATACCTATGGAAACATGACGTGTTGTGAATAAAATAAATAGTTAAACTGGCATTTGATAAAAAGTATTGTATAATTTAAACTTATCTGATAACCATAATATTTTTTTTTATTTATTGTAAAAATATATCCAAATATCTACAGGTATCTTCAAATTAGGTACAGTGTATTATATAATTATTATACTAAATTGTATAACATTGTACTAAACAGTAAACATACTCACGTTAAATGTATTTATTTATCATAATATTAGGAATATGTTTGAATTTTAAAACTATTTTTTCACTAAAAATCTTCGACGATTTAAGTACCTAATCGTCATTTATTTTATTACTTTAGAAGTCTCTGAAAGGGCGGTACTGGTTTGCGCACAAATACCAAAAAGACAACTTGTTTGGGCACAAAACTACCACTCGTTTGGGAACAGTTGAACCGTAACCAAGCACATGGTTTGGGCACAGTTACCTTTTATTATGATCCAGACTTAGGACTGTCTATGAATATATGCATAGGTATGGTTAAAAATGCATGTTAATACTTGCTTTTTAATAATAATTGTTAATAAATTTATAATATGTTAAAAATGGATATAATATAATATTTGTTTGTGTAAATTTTAATTTTAATTTTAATATAATATGATTGGTAAACGTGTCTATTATTTTCCGTAAAAACAGTTTTCCATTATTTTTATGTATTTCATTTGGTCTATTTCGCCAGATCTATATCTTGTCCATAAGTTTATGCGATGTTCAACTGATTCTATTAACTCCTTACTCCTTATTTTCGTGTGCGCAAACCAGTTGTACATTTAATATAACTGTGTGCGTAAACGAGTTCCGATTTTTCAGGTAAAAATTGTAGAATGTGCGCAAACAAGTTGCAGCCCTCTGAAATTATTTTAGTAACCTAACGAGAGTCCTGTTCAAAGATGCGGTAACGCTTATTTTATTAATTTTTTTCAACAAGACTCATTTTTGCTTACGCAATTATATTGTTTTATTAATTTAAACGGTTGGAAGTGGCGCTTGATTTCGTTTTCTAGTGAAATTCGAATTGTTTTTTTTTCGTGGATTTCACAGGTGGAAAAATACATTAATAATAATAACATTTATAATAACAATCATAACATCCGAAGAAACTTGTAATTAAACAAACGAAACTAGCTTAGTGGTAATTAAATGAACACGAGTCGGAAAGAGAAACTACTACAGGAATCTATGATACTAAATGTTAATTCGACTAAGAAGATCATTATCGCGAAGGAATGCCTACGCATCGCGCCGAATTACGTATGCTCGGGCTTCAGCGAGAATCACCTTCGTATTGTTTAAATTTGGCACAGTTTGAGAAACCACGATATTAGAATATTATCATATTGATGAAACAATTTTTGAGTCGTTATTGAATACGATATCGTAATATTCTGTATGTCCAAAACTATATTAATAATTTTATCGTTAAAATCGGAGTGCTTTATAATTTTTACTGATTTTTTAATTTTGTAAAAATATTAATTATACGCTACTATATAAGTAGCACTTCGCCGTAGTGATTCTTCCTGTTATTAAATATGTATATAAGTATATTAATATTATTTAGTTAGGCACTAAGTCACCTGCGGATTTTCTCTAGGGACTTGAGAAATAATTGTCTATTGTACGCACGCATTTATCAAATTATATATTTGTTACAATTTACGAAAAGTATACCTACTTCGTTTACGATTTGAAAATTGTGAAAGGCTTACACTCGAACGTAAATTAGTTTTTTCCTTACTATTTGTAGTTTTATCATTGTATACGTTTTTAATTTATTTTTTAATGATAAACTTATAACGTAAATAATTAAAACTAATAAGTGGTGAAAATAACACGGCACATTTCAAACGTGGCTGCAGAAGACATGCAACACACGCTCGAACACGAATACCTATTATATTACTATATTATCAGAAAGCGTTACTCTACATTTTAAAGTATAAACCCACCAATGTATAATTATATAAAAGAATATTGTTCTGATAGACCTTGACATAAAAATGATTTATAACACGATGCATAATGTATACGCTGTTATCATCTTAAGCCATCCAACATTTTATGTTTTCATCTACGAGATGTAATTATATACAATACCAGTCTACAATATAATAGAACTTTGATAACAATATTATAAATTTTAATCATTTGATCTATATTTTAGTTTCCGTGATGTCATTGCAGGTATATAGCTATTTACCCATGTACATAGGTTGGGTAATACAAGTTTAATAATATAATATATTTTTCAGAAACATTTACTTTGTATTTAACTTTTTAAATGACAAATTACCTGAGGTGAGACCGGTTGTACTGTGCAAGTGACAATAGACGTCATGTCCAACATTTTCGCAATCATTCTACCACAAGTGGTTTGGTCTTGTCGAATATTAATGCTTTCCGTGATACCACCAGTCAGATCAGCGAGTCCATCCAAAAGAGTACCATATTTAAGAGCTTCATACGAACCATGTAATCTGAATAAAAAATCGAATATGAGTCAAATAGCTAATTTGTTGTAGCAATAAATAAATAGCAATACAGTATACTTGCATATGCTTTTGTTACAATATGTAATTTGGATATTGTGAAACAAATGATTATTTGACAATTTTCCAACAATACATAGAACATAGTATTTACTATACGTATTATAATTAATTAATTCATTGTATTATTATTATTATTATTTACTTGTACACGTTGTTAGCACAAGAATAAATTAGCTATGTGTACAAACAATTTTAAATAAGTGAAATTTGGTTTTCGACATAATTTTTATAAATCTTATTTGCTTTAAAATAAATACAAATATTCTCTAGTTTCACATAATCTTTAAAAGTGATTCTAAACTGTGTTAGCTTACCCAAAACAGATACTACTTTTTTTTTACCGTAATATACTTTATTATAACATCGACGTGCCTATATAGTGATTAAGACAAGAATTGTTGACATAAACTTACTAAACTTGGGGATTTATTAATATTATTACTTTGTTTGGGTTTCTTCTATCGTACTGGAAAAATGTTTTCTAAAATCAAAACCATGTAAACTAAAATACCACATAAAAATACAAAACATTCCCTCGTCGCACCACTCAGAATCGAAAAAAAAACGCTTTCGAAATTAAACTATAAGAATTATAGTTTAACATGATAATATTAAGAATATATAATAAGGTGTTTTATTGAAGTGTTTTAATGGGTTATTAATATATAATATGTAATCGTATAATTATCAGCAATAAAATGTTTATGACTTTTTGTAGATTTAACTAATTCGGTTATTAAGTAATGCAAAGTGTAAAGCTTATTATCTACTTTTAAAGCTAATATCAAGATGTTAAACCATGAAAATATTATAATACAATATATGTTTACTGCGAAATAACAATTTAGTGATAGGTACCTCCATACGTATATCTAACAGTTAAACCGCGACGAATATATCTCAAACATACGCTTAATTTCAACCTAAATCACTGTGGTTTGAATACTTTCACAATAATATTCCAAACGGGTCAATATCAAATAGAGCCGAAAGCAGTTGTCTGTTAGGTATACTAAAATAATAGGATGATAATGCACTCGCGCTGTATAGCATTGTATATTGATGGTCATGGAACAGGATTCAAGTTCATTGGCAAAACGCGTTTCGTTGTCGTTCATCGTTTTCCATTTTGAATACGATTCGAAAGTGATCGATACCTACACAGGACACAATTGTTTAAAACGCTTGTTCATATAACACTCCAGCGTATGCGCATTGCAAGCTTTAAAAACGTTTGTATCACTTTCCAGTCTCTATTGGTATGCGATAGATTTTAAATAGTTGTAAGCAGGCGTTATTGTTTTTCTTATTATTTACAGCCATGACAAAATCTTATGCAATAAATAAAATTACTATTCAGTTTTTAACCAAACTAGGATAATCGGTAAATAATATTAAATCATTGTTATTAAATTATTATTATTGCTACTATTATTTTAATCATAATCAAAGCTAAATCGCTGTGATTGAACGATGAAAGAAAATTTACCACTTTATAATATAATATAGGCAGTGGCCGAAAATGAATTTAAATAACATTGTTTCCACAAAGCTATAGGTATATTGATAATCTATTTTGTTGAATCTTATATAAAATAATTTTATTATTATAATTATATTCTACGACAGCAACAAAATAATCATAGGTTATATAGTTATGACAGTTAACATTATATTTTTACTTATCTGTTAACGAAAATAAAAATTGGTCAGGTTATAAATGAGATATTCATATTTTATATAATATAAAACCTAAATAATTTATTACACCTTCAACGATCGTCTTAGAACAACGTGTAGGTATATACTATCTAGTATATACATTATACACGTTATACATTAGATGCAAACATCACTTTGTGAAATCGACTTTTCACGGAGTAATTTAGTTGTTCATTCGGAGGATGTTTAAAAAACCTGGAGGTTTGAATTAGTTGCGATCTCCTCAAAATTATAAGTATAGGTACCTGGTTATATTATTATATACCTACCTACTGTTAATTGTTCGTATACAGGATGATTCTTTTATCAAACAACACTCATTATTTAAAAAAGTATTGACTTTTTTCAATTTTTTTTT